TATTTTTCACTAGTGCTTTTCATATCACTAGGGTGAAACCCCAATATTATCCACATTAGTATCAAACCACTACTTTCGGACGCGAATTCGCATGGAGTATTACCCCACTTCACGTTAAACCGGTAAAACTCCAACGATTCGATTTCACAATAAAAATATAGAATTAACCCCAATATTACCGCAAGGTGCTTATAGCCTTGCGTGAGGCACTCCTGACTGCAGTAAAATCTAAAAGTCCTCGCGACGTCTCTAATGGTCCCGGGTCTGTGAGGATGATAAACGCAGTTATGTATCGATGGGCCCCGGTACCTAAAAATTTCAAACAAAAATAATTCCAAAAATTTCTCGGGAAATTCAGCAAACTAGCGGAATTCCCGACTGGAAATTTGGAAAATAGTAGAAAAATTTTCGGTGAAAAATTACGTCACCTTCCAATGAGCCCAACCGTACAGCGGAGCGAAAGTCATCCATGTGATAATTTTTTCCAATCAAAATCCGTTACTTCTGATTTACACTTTGTCTCTGTGTTTATTTATAAATGCAATTTATAATGGAATTTCACCCTAGTGATACGAAAAACACTAGTAGGAAATATATTTCACCACGTATTACGCCACTTCACGTAAAACTGGTGGAATTTTCCAACTATTTTATATTCATTTATAAACCCCATTAAAATTATTTCACAATTTATTTAGTCCTTTCCCTACTACCATTGCCACGATACTCGTTGGTCGTTTTCCCCGGCATCCCAAGTCTTCGCCACACCGGCAAAGGCTGATCCCGTGACGGCTTGTCGAAGTTGCTCATTAGCTGCTTCTATGGAAGTCCGCCGATTATTATTAAGACCCTCAACAGCTTCGGAAGGGACCTACTAGATGAAATGACGGGAAGAAAAAAGGGAAAAAATTGAAGAAAAATGAAAAAACCGGTAAAAAAGCGAAGAAGTGGGAAAAATCAGGAAAAAATATTAAAAAAACAGAAAAAAAGGAAAGATTGCGAATTTTTTCATCAAATTGGTGTGATAAAATAATACCAAATGAAACATTCTTTTCATCATCTCGCAAGCGACTCAGCCAATTAGAATCTCAGAGAAATTCCTTATACCATACCACAACTGAATAGTAAAAATATTATTGGAGTTTCACCCGTTTTACGTGAAGTGGCGTAAAACTCTGTGAAACCGCGATATTCGCGGTGATATGCAGTAGTCGTAAAATATTTTTCTCACTAGTGTTTTTCAAATCACTAGGGTGAAACTCCAATATAGAGCAATCCCATGCCATCCCTTCCTCACCTCTCGCACTAACACATAAGGCCATATCGGTGATCCTATCACAGGCCGATTTCCCTTAGTGAATTCAGCCCTGATGATTTCCACTGGACCCAATTGGGAGGAGTTGCCCGATGACTCCGCTGTAGGACTACTGTCGCTTTGGAGGCTCATGTCGTCACCCTTGACGACTCTCGAAGGTTCCGGATCAGAAATCCCACCTAAAATTCGATACTTCTGCACAAAAAAATCAATTATTATTTCAATTACGGTATGAGCTCAAAAGATTTCGATTATCTGGTTACTACAATGGAGTTTCACCACCCTAGTGATATGAGAAACACTAGTGAAAAATATATTTCACGACTACTGCATATCGCGTTTTTCACCGAGTACTTCACGTAAAACTGGTGCAACTCCATTATAAATACACATGTAATACCAAATTTCATGATAATCAGGGATACAAGTCGACAGTGTTTGGAAAATATGCACATGGTCAACCACATATGTTGGTGAGAAAATGAGAATTGTGGAGAAATTCTCATTGAGTCCTATACATTTATACACAAATTCGTATCTTAACGTGTATATTTAGTGAGGAAACTGTCAAACTCAGCCGAGGAAAGCGAACATATTTTTCACAGCACTGAAATTCGAGTCTTTTTAAGAGTCTGTTCCTCACACTTTAGGATCATTGAAAAATATGTCGATTGCAAACTGGGCGAAAGTCGATTTTTTATGCAGTTTTTTGCAAGTTTTTTTATGCAAAAAGTTAATTAAAAGTTTTTTTATGTCGATTTGCCCTGAAATATTACCTGTCATTCCTTCTGCTACAGTGAAACGCGTTTTTATTCCTTTTTATGAGTGGCCCCCTACGACGGTAGGAGGCGATCAAAATGAAGAGAACGATGTACTGAGGAGAATAAGTCACACGGAGATTTTTACCCCGAGGTAATCGCTGGAAACCTAACTTTCGAACAAAGACCCTACACTGTTATTTGAGATTTAAGCAAACATGACGGATTTCCAAAAATAAAAAATACAATAAAATTTTCCCTGAAATTTTCACGATAAATATACACTGAGTAACGAGCCAATTTTCAACTCCTACAGTGCGAAGCAAACAGTTATGCATATGTAGATTTTCGAGATGGCTTTCTTCCAATTCGAGAGTAATACGAATATAGACTACGGAACGCTTCTAAAACGTTGGTGTCAATCGATTCACATTGTTATCATGTTGATATTACTCAAAGTTGACTTTCGGAGGTGTTGAAAATATTACTTTGCATAATAACGGTTTGCTTGTTGTTCACACTGTATTCATAAACAGAATTTTTCCGCAGAAATATTCCGATCTCACTGGGATTTTTTTAAGTGTCGACAA